CTTAGCATCTACCGCACTCACTCTTCGTCTGTCCTCACCTATGATCGGACAAAGAGACAATGTCAAAACAAGGCGAATGCATATAATTTCGCCACCTCTTACTCAACTGTGTGCGGTCACTGTCTCCTAATAAGACAGCATAAACTGTCCAATTAGATATCGAAGTGGTAGGTAAATAAAGAATTAATCATTCTACTGATATAGAGAGGCGCCCGGTGAGGGGGGCTTCCCTGAGCAAAGTAATTACGATTCAGTTGAAAAAAATGCACGGCTTCGGTGGGAGACGAACCTACACAACAGGGAAGGCTTTTGTGCAGCCAACGCTCCACCATCGAGATACGACACTTACCCCGCGCCGTGAATTTAATCACACTTGGATCAATTTTACCCGCCCAACTGACCGCTCGTATGGAATCCAACATTACGGAAAAGCAAGCCCAGATAGGATTTCCTAAGCTATCATTTAGAATCCACCAGAATGACTAATAGGCTCACTGTATTGTTAGGAGGTGGTTTGGCAGATTTGCTTAATTCGCTTGACCCAATTGTGAAAAATTCCCGGCCTCAGTTGGGCAGGTAAAATCGATTCAAGTGTGATTAAATTCACGGCGCACGGTAAGCCTCGTAGCTCAATGGTCGAGCGTTGGCTGCGCAAAAGCCTTATTTGCTGTGTGGGTTCGACTCCCCCCACCGAGGCCGCGAATTTTTCACAATTAAGTCAAATGAATTCAGCAAATCTGCCAAACCCCTCGTAATAATTCAGATTAACGTGAGGACCTGTCCAATCGTGATTAAAAGTGCGACGTTCGATCAGGACAGCAGCCAATCACGCGGTGGGGGGGGGGTGAGAGAACGGGAGAGGGCATGCGGGTTACTTTCCTTGTCGATCCTTGCCACGGCAGTGCGAGGTTGATCACGTGATCCAGTTGTATTGGACGCACGCAAAGGCAGGTGGCAGCTCGGTCAGCTGAACATATGCCGAAGTGGCTGCTTGAGGTGGAAAATAAGGTACCCAAGAGTTCAATTATAAAGCACCTGCTGAACCCTGACACAGTGACTGCACTTAAAGTCGTACTTCGGGCGACCACTGGGCGGCTGCTGTACTTTGCAGGGGCCGGCGCAATACGGCGAAGAAAACCAGAACTATGTAGGCAGCTGGATCATGTGATTACTGTTGTTGTTTTTAATACTACCACACAGGTGTGGGCGTTGTGTGCTACGCATCGTCCCACAGTACCCGTATTACCGTTTATAATTACTTCGTTCTGTCTCGGCCACTGCGTGGGCGATGTTCGCGTGGGTGGTTTAAAAGGACGTGATGACACAATGAGGATGAGTTTACATTCAAATCTGGGCCTCGAGCTTGAATCATGCCTCTCATGTC